AGTTTGTGTATTGAAATTTACTAAGATGATGTGTGCACTTTAATATTTCATACTACATCTTATCATTATGATATGTGCATCTTAGAAGTTCGTATACTGCACTTTAGTAAGATTAAAAAAGTGCATCTTAATAAGATGACATGTGCATTTTAAAAGTTCGTATCATGCATCTTATCATTATGATATCTGCAGTCCATATTCAAATGACATGGCCTGGATACACAATTCAAGGGATTACAAAATGCATAATATATGAGTACCATGTTCTAAATAGTAAAAAAAGAATTCACATGACTACCTCATTATTCTATTATATTCATATGACAAAGAAGTGATTTGAGAAGGAGATAACTATGTGAAGAATTTATTAAAAAGAGATCACTAAAATCACAACAGAATTTAGTGAAAACCAAAACAAAAGACCATTTAGGGCAAAAGAATTGATATGAAAACCAAAACAAAAGAATTAAAAAAATTCGGCATATCAATTCAACTTTATGCCGGAATCCATGGCATTTGAGAACTTATGTTCTCACTGTGTGCAAAATCCATGGCATTCAAATAGAAAAACATTAATCATATTGTCTTAAATTTGAGATGAAGATGGACATGGAGAGAAGCTTTGATATCCTGGAGTAATCACATATTGATGGACGAACCACGATCGATGGAAAAGCTGGAATGAAAGAAGAAAGGGAAATATGTGGTTATGGAAATGGAGAAGGATGTGTTGATGGTGATCGTGGCAGGAGAAAAGGAAGAAACCGATGCAATCAGTTACGGAAAGCTAGGGTGATTATTTTTTCCAAAAATAATATAAATGAAAAAGACCAATAAACCCCTCAATTAAGGAATCAACTTCACGGCAATCTAATCAAAATGGAGGGCTGGGATTAGTTTGTAGGTTAGCATGTTAAGCCTAGTTTGTATTTGATCTCTAATCTGTATATATATATATATATATATATATATATAGGGTGTATATGTATATGTGTATATATATATATGGTGCGGTTCTGGTGAGAACACTCCTTAACGTGAGAAATGAGAACACTAAAAAACGATGCACTTTATCCTTCACAAAACTGCACATTTAAAGTTAAAGTAATGCAAAATTCCAATATGCACATTTACGTTTAAAATTTTGCACAAACGAAATGCACATTTTCCAATTTTTTATATGCATGTTTCTGTTTTACATGATGCACAATGCTCAAATCCAACGCTCCAGAATCATTCTCATTTCTCTCCTAAGATGGTATTCTCATTTGATCCTTACCCTATATATATATATATAGACTGTTGGATTGTATTATGTGGAACTAAATTGTGCATTTGATCAAACTGAAACGTGCATTAGATGATATTGAAATGTGCAGAATAAAATTTTTAACTCAAGTGTGCATTAAATGAAACTGAAATGTGCAGAATAAAAGGTACAAAAATAACACCACATGCATCGTACCTTTTATTTTGCATATTTAATTTTCACCTAGTGCACATTTCAATTTCACATAATGCACAATTCATCTTCATATATATATATATATATATATATATATATATATATATATATATATATATGTAGGTTTTGGATCAAATAAAAACCTTTCTTAACGTGAGAACTGAAAACTTTTCACTTTTATCTGAATGTGATGCACTTTAAGGGTGATCTGTTGCACTTTTTGAACTTCAGTCGAACCATGCTAAGTAAAAAAATGTTGAGGCATTTTCGTAAATAAGTCAAAGTTTTCTGTCATTGCGAAAAAGTGCAATACAGAAGCGTAATAGTGCATCACACTATGGAAAAAGTGGAGGTTTGCAGTTTTCATGATAAGAATGATTTTTATTTGATCCATACCCTATATATTTAGTTAAGTGTTTCAGGTGGAGAAATGAGAATGGATCTGGACCGTTAGATTTGCTTTAAGTGAAATTCAATGTGCATTAGATGAAACTGTAATGTGCATTAGGTGAAATTGAAATGGGTAGCACAAATGATACGATATAGTGGCATTATGTGAAGCTAAAGTGTGCATTAGGTGAAATTGAAATGTGCACTAGGTGAAAATGAAATGTTTTGAAATAAAAGGTACGATATGATGTTATTTTTGTCTCTTTTATTTCGCATATTTTAGTTTCACCTAATGCACACTTGAGTTTAAATTTTTATTCTGCACATTTCAATATATGGCAACCAATAACCATATAAAATTGGGAATTGGACTGTGCACCCCATTTTCAAAATTATTAATATGTGCACACACATTAGCCCAAAAATGTGAAGGATGTGTGTGTAATGTCAAATGATTTTATAGTGAATTAGGGTACGGTGCACACATTAATGATTTTGAAAATATTGTGAAAAGTCCGTTATAACCCAAAAAAGTTGCAAAGTCAAATTCTTCATTATGCATTTCCAATTTTGCGGTTAGGTGTCCGGAAAGTAGCGAAACTTGGATAAATTGTATTTACCCGAGAAATAGCGATTTATTGATGTTTTAATTTGGTATACCGATCGATATTCTTGGTAAGTTGGTATAGTATGATACCAACCATAATCATTTCTCTGATATCTCTGTGCCACATTAAATTAAACCACAACTTCTTTCTTTTAGTGAATTGTTGTTGATCACATTTGATTTTCGTTGTACTTCATTCAACCAATCTGGCATAGACGTTATCTTTAATTTCTGAATTTAAAATTCACTTAATTCTCTTTTTTCATCTTTGTGGGAACGATACTCCTACTTCTATCTTATAAAAGTACACATATTTTATGTGCGAGAAAACTAACATCCTTGACGATGAATCATTATTGGAGCACACAAATTGAATATTAATTTTTTTTAGACTTATCGGACCTAACAAGTTGTACGTTAGAGTTTAGTGGACTCTATTACCAAATGAAGATCTTGAACTCATTTAAGCTATCTCGCACCGGCAAAATATATGTATGTAAAATATAAGCTAACGTATGTTGTAAGGCTTGGGATAATTTTATCCTAATGGATCAACTATAATAGGAGTTGTAATTAAAATCTTAATATAACATTTTATTACTTCAAATTTACACGCGCGGGACGTCAACCATATGTAGCCATGAACTCCTCCTATCATGTTTAGGTTGTCATGTCTATATTAATATGACAACGGAGCTAATCAATTAAAGGTAGATTCTATGGTACCCATAAGGTACCATACCTTCGTCCACATGGATCAATCGGAATGTTTCAGTTGAATTATTTAAATCTAATTTAAAAATGATATAATCATTTGGACCAATCAAGTAAATGGTAGGTACGGTACCTCATTTTTAAATGGGCACCGGAGTTGTCACCTTAATTAAATTCATGAGCACTCAACAACGACCACATGCATGGACTTGAAAATTAATTTGCTCCAGCAAGTCACCTCTTGTGGAGCATATTAGTTCATCTCCCATTGTAAAGATACAAACTAACATAAAATTATAAGGTTTTTAGCTACTCTTCTATCCTGTGGGATGAAACCTCAAATCTTAATATATATGCATTTGGTTCCAGAATAACTACACTAGCTAGGTGAATTAATACGAGTATAATTAAGTGTAGCGTGTAGCTCACACTACTAGAAAAACATGTTTAGCCTACAAAATTTCTACATACAAAAAAAAATTGTAGCTTAATGTATCTTCTCATGACAAAATAATTAATTTGTGGGTGTAGTACTTTAACTACAAATATTACTTTTCCATACAAAATATGTTTGTCTACCAAAGCTCTTTTTCTAGACAAAAAATTATCTTATGGGGCTAGAGCTTTCTCCACAAAATTGTTAGCATACAAACTTAAATTTGTAGTCTAACAAGACTTTTCGCTTCAAAAGAAATAATTAGTAGGATTAGTAGTTTGGCTTAGGGATCGAGTGGAACGGGTCGGCTCAGCCCGATACTATTTAGGTCCAACTCGGACCCGGTTGAACGAGACCAGTACTGACCTAGTGCCCAGATCGGTACCGACTCGGTGCCCAGACCGGTACCGACCCGGTGCCCAGACCAAAGGTTTAACAGAATGGGACTTGGGCTAAGTGGCCTAGCTCCAACCCTGACTAAAAACATAACTTCGATCAGTCTGTTCAGCCATAAAAATAACTTTAGTCTTACATATACGAAGTACCCCCTCCGTCCTGAATTATTTGTCTTGTTTGTTTTTGCACAAGTTTTAAGAAAATGGTTGAAAGGGTAAAAGTTGTGGTTGAGATTTGAGTAGAAAAAGGTGAATTGATATGAGCCACCCATTATTGCCAAAAGAGAAAACAAGACAACTATTTTGGGACGGACCCAAAAGGAAAGCAGGACAATTATTTCGGGACAGAGGAAGTATTAGTTATCACACAATTCAGCCTGCAAAAACAAAATTACGTGTTTGATAAAATAGTTGAATTGACCGATTAAATAAACTGATATAAAGAAATTAGATGTTAGTAGACGTGTTCCTTGTAACACGTAATTCCTAGTTAGTAATTGCATTAATATGCTACTGTTTTAATAAAAGTATATATATTTTGTAAATGAAATATGAAGGAGTAAATATAAAACTTAGAGCCCGCTTGGTAGCACGAAACTCGGCTGATTTGGCTGTTTCTGCTGAAATTTATGAAGTTCTGGTTGAAGTGGCCGCATTGGCTGATTCTGCTGATTGAAAAAAAATATATTTTTAAAATATATTTCATTAATAAAATAAAGAAAAAATTATATCTAAAATAGCTAAAATGATCATATACAGTAACTTCAGCCAATACAGCCAGAAAAGTAACTCCAACCTTACTTTTTCTACTTGTTACACAATTCAGCGTGCGAAAGCAAAAATTACGTGTTTGGTGAAAAAGTTGGTTGATCAGTCTGATAAGCCGAAAAACAAAGGTTTCAAAAGGCCTCTAAAAGTCGTAAAGTATAATAAAATACGGAGTAACTTGAGTAATAATGAGATAAAAGGCTAAAAGGTGTTAAAACCTAGGAAGATGTATATGGCCATATGCGCACATTCAAAATGAAATTCTTGATCAATTTTCAGATCAATTTTTTCAATGAGGAGGGTTGCCGCCAGCTACGTACTCCTATCCCTCCTCTAAATTAAAAAACTACCACCAAACTAATTGCTAGTTAGCGCCAAAGTACGCCCTAATTCAATGAAGACTCCTATTCAGTACGTTAACTGCTCTATCATAACTGTACTCATATTCAATCCGATCTCAAGATATACGTTGTAGCTTCTCCTCAGTGCTGCTTGGCGTGCTCAGAATCACTTTTACGGTTGAATTAAGCAGGTCACCATCACAGAACTTCTACTCTAGCTTCCCATGATTCAATTCATTCCATAGGTAAACAATGACCACATCCCTCTCTATTGGGTTTATACTTTTTGTGGTTGAATTTGGATTTCTAACTATTATTATTGTTAGATTGTTAATGAAACTGTTGTTTGCTATTGCTTTCTTATGAATGATATAATATCCTCATTGTTGTTTAACTCAATTTGTAATTGATAAACTGTGTAGCCAAGGTGTTTGATAAAAATCCTAAACCAAAATATGACTAGAAAGTAGTGACTACTAAATAATTTTAAGATATATTTGTGTGATTTGAACCCTTTCTGTATAAGCCAAAAAAACATAATGATCACACATTGACATGGATCACCCTAGAAGCAATTGAGTGGTGCTCTCAGTACACTTTCACTTTAGATTTTTATTTTTGTTTCTTTGGGTGTTCATTATTTTTTTCCCCATTTTGGTTGTTAGTTTCTTTGAGTTTTTATTTTGTCCATTTGCTACATATCAAATTTATTAAATTTGACTAATTAGCTTTTGAAGCATTTTTATCTTTCTGTATCGTTCTCATACCCATATTAGTAAGCATCATACACATATTTTGTATATCGTGTCCCAGACACTTCATTTATCTGCAAACCATGTCGAATTGCTTCATCAATCACCACGTTATCCATTGTTTTTGCTCATGATACATATGCCAAGATAAATTTGCATACGTCTCCACCACGAATTTTGAGTAGCTGCTCCACAGTATGAAAGAAGTAAAGAAATATTTGAGTGCTGAAAATTTTCTAATTTAGAACTTAGTTGATCATTATTTCCCCTCTCCAGCATCTCGTCTTTTAAACCAGAATATATCTCGAAAGAATACAACTCTATTTTTTTCTTCAAGATCTTTAGGACTTCCACATTGTGGTCTGTCATCAGGACTTCACGACAAAACTTGCTGCACAATATTCCAGTTATACCTACACCAGATCCAAGCTCAATAACAGAACACCATTGGATGATATGAGCCTTCTTTGCAAGAAATCATTCAAGCGCACTGCTCCAGGCCACACCAGCTGTCCCGTCAAATCAAATAAGTGGAAGCTGATTGGAGACAGTATAATAGCTGAAGAACTTGAGAACCAAATGAGAACGGTGTCAGCCCGTAGTTGTCATTGATGAAGAACAAAGCGTCCAAACAAACAGTGTCTTCTTCTTCTATCCCTCCTTTAATCATATTATTGAGCGCAGACAATGGCTATGTTTGGGTGCTAGCGTTTAATCTAAAACGCCACATTAATTTACACTTGAAATGCTGCAATTTGCAGCGGATTGGGGTTGGAACCGCCAAAAACCAAACGAGCTCAATGTAATCGCGGTAGCTGGCAGTTTGCAGTACTGAAATTAGATGATATGCACTAAATCTAACACTTATATATTATAAAAGTAGCTAATTAAGCACCATAAGCATATCACAGTTTTTTTTTTATTTCAATTATCGTATTTATTCATGTGTTAACTAAATAGTTATGCATACAAACTAAGTATTTCCTATGAGCTATTACCGTTCTCCATTGTTTCCATAAATGTTCATGCTATATAAATTATTGTGTAAAAAAGGGATTAAAGTTAATTGTGTTATATTTTGATCAATGTTTTCTGTATTCACAGGAGTGAAGAGCAATTTTAATAGTACTAAAGCTTCCTTCAATCCAAGTAACAAAGGTAAGTCCACATTTACTATGCTCAACACTTTTTACTGTTTACAAATACTTAGTCACATGATGTCATCTTAAACTTTAGTGCGTTATGTTTTGGTTGAGTTTTTCTTACAATTTTCTAACTTCATACATGTAAAAATGTCGGATCTTGTTATAAAAAAACATACCTTTTCTATGGATAGATGTTGGATACAAAATCCAGACAAGAATAGTGGTGAATATAAATTAGGTATTGCTGAATTTATTGAAGCCGCAAAGACAAACGTTGGACTAACGATGCAACAAAAGAACAACATGTAAGATAAAACATCTAATATACATTTGCAATTCTTTCATCACTTTGTTACTGAAAATTGCATATGCTTTTGTAATGCTTATAGGAACAAATGGTTGCCAAGGCTAATGAGTATCTCGTAGAGAAGGCAAAGGAATATAACCTTCCTGAAGACACCCCTTTGAATGAGATACCTGTCGATGATCCTGATATTGGGCTTGAAATTATGACGTCTGTTTTAGGTTCCACACCAGGTCGCCTACGAGAGACAAAGCCAACATCTAAAAAAGTGAAACACTTAGAAAAAGAATTGGAGGTAGAACGAGCAGCACGGAAGGCTGCTGATGCCGCTCGTAGAGAGGCAGAAGAAAAGATGCAAAACACATTGAGGAATGTAGGGCATAAATTCAATTTTACACTTCAATCTTGGCATCAATCATTAATGCAAGTGGGTGTTGATATACCACCACTCACTCCTTTTTCTCTTGAAGATGGTGGAGAACATGAGAATGCCACTATCATGGATGACTAGTTCGTCCTACATAAGTTACTATATTAAGTTTTTAGATGAACGAAACATTACATTGACTACATTTTTAATTTCAATTATGTTACACATTCCACTTTATTATGTGATAAGTATGTACTGTGTTTGAACTCAAATTGTAATATTTCATTTGGAGGTGATTTGGAGACTTGGAGTTAGTACATTTTATTATGCATTGGTTTAAATATGTGTTGCTCATGATCGTTCCTCTTAAATCATTCAAATCACAAAAATTTATTAATGAACATCTTCCTTATAAAATTTACATACAAAGGTCTTTCCATACAATATTTTTTTGTGGGCAAATATATACTTTATCTACAAAGGTCTTCCCATACAATAATTTGTTGTTGCTAAAAACATTTAGAGCATACAAATATAGTTGTGGTAAAAACACTTAGGTGACAAATTTTATTTGTCTAGCAAGGTGTTGTATGCCTATACTTTAGTCGACAAAGTTATGAATTTTGTCGTCTAAACTCTTTCGCTTCGATGATTTCCATACAAAGCTCGCCACAAAAAAAAATTGTCTGCAAAATATTTTGGCTATAAAAATTAACATTTCCCTACAAATATTCTTTGTATGGAAACATAAAAAATGTAGTAGTGTCAAATGGACGTAAATTCAAAAATAAATAACACAAATATTAGTATTTAAACTACTCCTTCCATCCCAAAAAGGCAAAAAGGTTCGCCAAATTAACTTTTCTTGGTCAATGACAATCAACTTTGACCAATGATATTGTTAATACAAAACTATTTTGAATATGAAAGTTATATCAAAATGTTCATTATTCAAAATATTTTCATAAAAGTATAAAATTCATAAATTTTATACAATTATAGTAATTAAAATCGTTGACCAGAAATAGTAAATATGGCGAACCTTTTCGGAATGGAGGTAGTATATATTTATGTGATATCTCTAATAGCGAGACTTGCAATCCATCTTTATCAAAATGTTTCCTCCATGTTCGGCAAAAGTTTTTTATGTTTTGGGATACCCTCCAACCTTACGACTTGTTTCTTCTTTTTTAACAATGATGCCAAACACCTTTCGGTTCCAGCCCCCAGGGCATGCAGCAGCCTGTAGACACACTTGCTCAAGTTATACATCAATGTTCGGCGCACATAGACACATATATTCAATTTGCATATATAGTCCAAGTTTCACAATAATCCAAGTCATAATTTCTCTTATACTAACTAGATAGCTATCTTTCCATCATTTTTAATAGGCAAAGATTCACTATTGTTTGCTTGAGAATATGATGAAATAAAATAAAATGACTCGCTAAACTGTTCGTGTTTCTTTGTTTTGAAACAGTAGTCAGTTCATGCAATTTTCGACGCAAGTATGATCATGGGTCATCCGGAAACGGTCTCTATGTGTTTTAGCACATGTGTAAGGCTGCGTAAATCCGACCCTCCTGAGTATGTGGAGCCTTTGTGGCAATGGAGTAGTGTTATCGTTGTATTAATTAGATAGCTATAGTGTGACGTACCGGCCAACTATGGAACATAACAATTCACTTTTGCTCATCAATCATAATATTATTGAGGTTCATGGCTCCACGTTGTAGTATAGGCTTGTGGCACAGTAGTGAGGAATGGGACTTGATCCAACTTGTGGACCGATTCTATTGATGCACCAATCACTGCCAAGACACACACATGCATGCATGTTAACACTTTGAAGTTGAGTAGCCCTAGTAAATGTCCTTTTGCCCTCTTTAGACAAACATATACATTAGCAAGGTGAGACTTTTATGCCTCAACAAAGCTGTTCACTATTAGTGCCTCAACCTCATTTTTCTATATATTATGTACGGACTATATATATATATATATATATATATATATATATATATATATATATATACATATATATATATATATATATTATAGGGCCGGCTTGACACATTAAGAGATCCGGTGCTAATCACACAAATGAGGTCTTTTATTAAATAAAATGCATAGATATAATGTGTAGACGTATGATTTGCTTCTATTTTGAGGTGGGCCGTTCAATGTATAAAGGTGTTTCAAAAATGCAAATGGGCTCCTATTAATTATTTAAATAATTACTTTATAGAGTACTCTTCCGGTCAGGAATTCTTGATCGGAACCGCTGTCCAGACAGTGGTGTTTGGGGTCCTTTCCGGTGAAACTTTTTGATGAAATTTTTATGGCATGTTCTTCATCAATTCTAGTTTATCCACAAAAAGTTTCAGCTAAAAATTCAATCGGTAAGGCCGTCATATGATTTTTGAAAGATAACTGCGCCAGAATATACATATAAAACGCAGTTAACTTCAAAAATTATATGACGACCTTCCTGATTGAATATTTAGCTGAATGTTTTTGTGGATAAACTAGATTTGATGAAGAACATGCGATAAAAATTTCATCAAAAAAGTCCATCTGGAAGATGCTGAAATGCCACCGTCCGGACGGCGGTTCTGGTCCGGAATTCCGGACCTGAATATTTCTCTACTTTATATATATATACTATTTAAATTTTTAAAAAAATGGGCCTGCTATTTTTGGAGGCCATGTGCAGTAGCCCAGCTTGCACAGCCTCATCTACGGCCCTGTAGTGTGTGTGTGTGTGTGTGTGTATATATATATATACCCCCTCAAAAACACGAACTTTCTGCAAAAAAAAAAATCAGGTTTCTAGAGTTATTTTGACGCGGTGGCATTTTCGTAATTTTTTTGTAGGGGGTCTATAAGTTACGATTTATCGGTTGAAAGTTCGTGTTTTGAGCTTATAAGTTAGACTTCGCAGCTTCTCAGCTTAAGGGGGACTTCTCACATGATCTTCTCTCTCTCTCTCTCTATATATATATATATATATATTAATATATATATATGTGTGTGTGTGTGTGTGTGTATAGGGTAAGGATCAAATGAGAATATCATCTTAGGAGTGAAATGAGAATGATTCTGGAGTGTTGGATTTGAGCATTGTGCATCGCGTAAAACTGAAACGTGCATATAAAAAATTGGAAAATATGCATTTGGTCTGTGCAAAATTTTAAACGTAAATGTGCACATTAGAATTTTGCATTACTTTAACTATAAATGTGCATTTTTGTAAAGGATAAAGTGCATCGTTTTGGAGTGTTCTCATTTCTCACGTTAAGGAGTGTTCTCACCGGAACCGCACCTTGTGTGTGTGTGTGTGTGTGTGTGTGTGTGTCTATATATATATATATATATATATATATATATATATATATATATCCCTTGTCAATTTTGAATAAGAAATTTGGAAGTTGTGTAACATATGTTAATCCAAGTCGTGCATAAATATTTTTGTTATTGGAGGTGTTCAGAATTATTTGTCCATGATTTTATTGATATAAGTTATTTATTTTTGTAATTTTATTTTGGAGGATTCTATGGTACCCTCAAGGTACCATACATTTGTGACCAAACAGAATGTTATAGTTGAATTACTTAAATATAGATTAAAAATGATATAATGATTTGAACAAATCAATTGAATAATAGGTACGCTACTCCATTTTTTAAATGGCTATATAGGCCGCCGTCTAATGAGAACCAAAATTTTCAGATATGCCCCTGCCTATTACTGCTAGCTAGCGCTTTTATTTTATTGAAATAACCTTTATTTAAATAGTGTAGAGTTGTAAAGCTGCCTTGCGTGCTTGCGGCTACAAGTGATTTACATATACTATACTATTGAATCTTTTCAATATAGAAAAAACGTACGTACTGCGTAAAAGATAATCAGAATTTATGAATGAGATAATATACATAATACTAGTGTCTAGTATGTGTCATTTTGCTTTAATTTATTCCCACTCACGAAAGAAGAACTTTAAATAAACGAAGTACTTCTTGACTTGGGGCCAGAGAGAGCCTTTGATTCTTTATTGTCATTAAAGGAAAAGAAAATGAGGTAAACGATATAGAAAAAGAGTCACCGATGGGGCATGGGAAGGGTACGGAGCAAAGAAGAGCGCATGGAAAGCGCCGAACAAAGGGAAGTGTTGGGGCATATATTTGCTCAGCCAGGTACACTCACTTTCTTTCGTGCCACATATTCATAGTCCCACACTTCCTCCTACTCCATACATATACAGTACTCAGTACATCAAATATTTCCTATACAGTTGTAGTTGTGTATTACCGCATCCAAAACGGTATCATTACTTTAGAGTTCGTTTGGTAACATTTAAATTAGCTTAATCAATGTTTCCAGCAAAAGGGTGGCGCCAGCAACGACTCATCCAGTGCCCTAGTCTGGTTCCGCCCCTGGATTTATATTAGGTGTAGGTAGATAATATTAATTAAGAGTTGTGAATACATGTGACCAGAGGTGGAGCCAAGGGGGTCAGGATGATCAGGCGACCCTTGGCCCCTAAGAGTTTGAGAGTAAAGAGGTCTTTAATATCTTCAATTTGATATATATTAGAAATTTTATCAATCCAGGATCTGAAAGATAGATAAATTATCAATTCGGGACCTGAAAGATGAAATGTATCAATATAGGACCTGAATGATGGAAAATTATCAATTTAGGACCTGAATAATCGAAAACTATCAATCTAGGACCTAAGTTGTCATGAATTTTACTACCGAGTATCTTTTTATTTCAAAAAATTTAAATTTCACTTAGTTTTATTAAACTAATAAACTTTTGTGAATAAAAACCAATGAAACGATAGATCTTAAATTGATAGTTTTTCATCATTCGGGTCCTATATCGATAAAATTTATCTTCCAGGTCTTGAATTGATAAAATTCCTATATATGCCTTATATGAATTACGTAACTCATTATTAGTAAAAAGTTACGACTTCTGAAAAATCGACACTGTCTGAATCTAAAATTAGTAAAATTTGATGTGTAGTATTTAATTTATTATATTCCCAAAATTTTATAAATAACGTATAATTCACTCCTTACTGGGATATGGTATGTGACAAACTTAATGTGATATAATTTATTTGTGTATAAAATATGGTATGTGACAAACTTAATGAACGGACGAAAATGTAAAATGGGAAAAAGTTAGGAGGACGGAGGGAATATCTTTTAAGCCAGTATCGGGGGACAATTTCTTATTCATTTCTAAATGGTTTTATACAAGTAATTTGTGTGAACGTTCATCTC